TCGTCAGTGTAGTAATGTGGAAGTTAAATCACAGTGTTCTAGAGAATAGTATAATTACTGGAAGCCACAAAAACTGGGTCAATTTAACACTTTGGTTGGATGATATACTTTCATATTTTGGACAAACCAATCTTGGAATCCCAGCTGTTGGAAGCATCTGTTGTAGAGATGGAGAGAAAGAAAAGCAGTATGTCATCTTTACCAGCTGAAAGATGAAGAATGCTGTATGCATCTATTTCTTAGTACAGATTGTCATAAAATCCCAATATTCCTTTGGGGCCCAATTGTTTACTAACTTTTCAGGAAAATTAAACCTTTAAAGCTGTCAATTATTTAATAAGTAAAATTCAGCATATAACAGACTTTATTTTTGATCAGTGATCATTTTAGTTTCAACCTCTTCCATATTGACTAGATAATTATTACCCAGATTCAGATGTCATCAAATTTACCAACAAAATAAAATGAACAGAGAAAGAACATTCTCATACTGACTTAGAGTCAATAGAGATTCTTCTGTCTCTTGACCCACAAAAGAAAAGTTTTTACATGCATCAGCTGAGTAGACAGAGAGTAATTTATTAATATGTATTTACTTTCCAAATCTTTATTATGAGAAGCTAAATGCAGCTGTTCAAGTTAGTTAAAACTGTTAAAACTACAGTCACTACCAGAAATTAAATGAAACAGATTTTTAAAAAAATGGAGCTATTGTAATCTCATGGGCAAACTGAAACCAACCTACGTGATCAGAGAATATTTTTGTATGATATCACAGAAACCCAATTAAATTAGCTTAAAACACTGAATTATTTCAGGAAGTTGACTAGACTTGTAATCAGTGCCGAAACTTTTCTAACACCTAATTAACTAAGAAAAGCGGTACACAAATTATGTTTCCAATTCATTTAATAGCACAGCCTCTGAAGGCATTTCCAATTAGCCACATTTTCTTGGGATTTACTGAACTTTTCAAAATTAAACAATGAAAGTTTAACATTGAAAACAACGTTAAATGGTTGTGCCTTTGGTGATTTTTAAATTTTAAATAAAGGATTTCCATCTCTTGGCACAGGGATCTTTGTAAAAGAAAGTGGTTGCTAAGAAACATCAATAAAAATGTTATATAACAATCAAACTTGGTTATTGTTTGCAAATAGAGTAAAATTATATTAGGAGAAGAGAGTTAGAAGTAACTTAGAGTGAGCAAGAGTTTCCTTGTAACCGTGGTCAATTTATCATAGTATTTATATGGTTTCTAGAAACAGTGGGTTCCAGAGAAAACTCAGCAGTTACACCAAAGGAGATGAAGACGTAGATCATTATTACCCCACTCTTTTTCTCTTTGAAGGAAACCAGAAGAACCAGAGAAATTGAGAAGGCACTCCTGCATCAACTGGAAAAAAATATCAGGCAGACTTTTTCCTACCAAGGTATTCCCAAAGGTGAGCCAACATCCATGCAGACTCCTACTGGAATGTTGGCTAGCCCTCTCAAAGGACTGGGATTTCCCATTTTTTTCAAATGTTGTTAATATGCAACACTATCTTTTTTTTTTTTTTGTGCCTCTTTGAAACTTTCACCACTCTTCTCAGCCCATCCTCACTGCTCCCTCCTCTTTGCACACGATTCTACCTTAATGATAAAAGAAGCCATTCAAGTTAATATTCAAAATACATAAAGAACTCATACAACATAATAGCAGAAAAAATAGAATAAAATAAACACAACAAAACAAAAAAACCCACACAATTAAAAAATAGGCAGAGGAGCTGGATAGACATTTTTCCAAGGAAGACATGAAAAGGTGCTCGACATCACTCATCCCCACGGAAGTGCAAACCAACACCACAATGAGACACACCCCACACTTGTTAGAATGGCTGTCGTCAAAAAGACAGCAGACAACAAGTGTGGCAAAGGATGTGAGGAAAAGGAAATCTTGTGCACTGTTGGTAGGAATGTTAATTGGTGAAGCCAACGTGGAAAATAGTAGAGAGATTCCTCCAAAAATTAAAAATAGAACTACCACATGATCCAGCAATTCCTCTTCCGGGTATGTATCAGAAGGAAACAAAATCACTATGTCAAAGAGATATCCGCACCCCCGTGTTCACTGCAGCATTATTCACCATACTTAAGATATGGAAATAATCTGTGTCCATCAACAGATGTATGAATAAAAAAGGTGGCAAATATAAATATATACAATTCAGCCATAAAAAAGAAGGAAATTCTGTCATTTGCACCAACGTGGATGGGTCTTGAGGGCATTATGCTAAGTGGAATAAGTCAGTCAGAGAAAGACAAATACCGTATGAGCTCACTTACATGTGCAATTTAAACAAAACAAAAAAAACCAAAACCTCATGGAAACAGTTGAATGGTGGTTGCCATAGGCAAGGAGGGGGAGATAAAATGGGTGAAGGCTGTCAAAAGGTACAAACTTCCAGGTATAAGGTAAATATATTCTGGGGATGTAATGCACAACATTGTGACTACAGTCAACAATACTACATTGTATATTTGAAAGCTGCTAAGAGAATGGGTCTCAAAGTTTTCATCCTAAAAAATAAAATTGTAACTATGTGGGGTGATGGATGTTAACTAAATTTACTGTGGTGATTATTTCTATATCACCACTATATATTACATTACCATATTACTTCTATGTGTATATTATATATATATATATATATGTAATCATTAAATTGTACATCTTAAACCAATACACTGTTATATGTCAGTTATATCTCAACAAAACTGGAGAAAAAAATATTTTAAACAAAGAACAAAGAATTCATCCAGCCCTACTCACCCTCACAAAAGTTAAGTCCATTTTCACGCCCTCCCTGCAGTCTCAGCAGAAGAGCGCACTTCCGCCCAGGACTCTCCTCTTCCTACCTCCTAAAATTGGTCATCTTTTCTCTGTTAGGATTTCTTTCTATCAGTCATTGCCTCTCTGCCCCTCAGCCTCTCAGATGGCTTTTGGAGTATAAACATGTTCAATTTCACCACTTTTGAAACTAAACAACACTAATTAACACACACACTCCAAAGCTCTCTCTCCATCTGTCACCTAATGTGCTCCAGTCTAAAGGACACCTCATCCTATTTCTCAAGCTGTCAACTTCTGTTCACATTTACATCCTAGGAATTACTTCTGGAAGCCCTGCGTGACCACCAGACTCCTGCTTTACCCCGTGAGTAACCCTAAACTGCACTGTCGTTGCCATTTGTCTTTTTAGAGCCCTGACAGGCAGTGGAGCCCTTGCAGCCTTGGGCGGCTCACCTCTGTGTCCCCGGGACACGCACAGTGAGTGACCCAGGCAGATCAGGGGCTCGGTCACACCCACTGAACTGAGCAGTGCCCCGGAAACCTCCCCAGCTCACTAAGTTTCCCACTCTCTGCCTTCTTTCCCCATCATGAGAAGTTTCTGTGTTTAAACTTTTGAGCTGGAGTCTCTTTAGCAGAGCCTGTTTTTTCCCACCGGTCTCTCCCCGTCCTGGTCACAACAGTTTGTAACGATGTATTAACACATGCTTATCCACCACTAGATTCTGAGTGCTAGGACCTATGCGTGTAGTACTCCTCTTCCCATTTGGAGCACCTGTGATCTAGAAGGTCCCAAATGAATCAAAAGACAAGGAAATACGGAGGGAGGGAAGGAGGACAGTTTGAGGACAAGGTGTGGGAGAGGGTTTGCACAACACAAGGTGAAATCATGAGAATTCAAAAGATACTCAATTCTAAAATTCTCACTTGATCTAATATAAAAGGGTAATTATTTGTCAAAAAGTTAACACTGTGTGTTTCAGTGAAATACAGGTTCTATTCTAATCCACCCAAATTCTTTAAATAAAAAATTTGCAATCCACATTTATGATCTATCCCGTTTCTTCATTTATCTCAAGGGGTAGTATTGACCCTCATAATAAGATTATATAATTTACATGTTGTACAAAAGAATGCAGACCACGGTAATACAAATGTAATGCCATGCATTTGCCCGGGCCTTTCCAGGTACCGCGGCATCGTCACACAAGTGAACCCTTTATCTCAGGACCACACAAAGAGCTAAGCAGAACAGGGCTCTTATTTTCATTTTGCAGTTGAGAAAACTGAGCTTCAGAGAGGTTAAGAGACATGCATGCCTTGGAGCTGTGAATAAATTGAAGAAGAAGGTGAAGGTAAAAGGGAGAGATATTAGATTTGCTCTTTTGAAAATGACTCAGTGGGAGAAACGTGATCTTAATCAGCAACAGCAAATACTTATTCAGCATTTACTTCTTGAAGCCCAGCTCTGTCTTCCCTGGGATAGAAATGTCATCAAAAGAAAGAGCAGGTATCATGTCAGAGTCCCTCAGACAGCAATTTTTTGAGCAACTGGGCCTATCAAATAAATTACTTCCCAAACACTTCAGGTGGCAGGAAAAGTAATCATTAGCTGTTTAATATCTAATACAGCTAGGATACTACAGTATTTTCTTGGTTATACATACAATACAGTAAAGAGTCTCTTTCTCTGTGTGTGTGATGTGCATATATTTCAAAGGTTCTTGAACAATTAATGTGTTGATAATTAATATGTATTAATATGTATGCAGGAAAAACACACTGCCCTCCCACTCAGCATCTTGGTTCTCTCCTGCTTTAGTCTGTCCACCTAGAGTTCCTACCACCATGTTGCCTTCTTTTGTTTATTTGTCCTTACTAGTTATTTTTTCAGATACTTTTATGTGGTCATTCTTCTTCCAATTTTAGAGAACTTGGAGCAGCATTTTTTACATTTTTTACATCAAATAAAATGTGATCAGGAATAAAACTTCCACTTACAAACTGCCCCTAAGGAAAAATGTGACCTATTCGCCCACAATCTGTGTTATGACTGCTTTCTGACTTGTTTTGATGAGAAGCAGAGATTTCTTATCATTCTTGGTTTACCTCTCAGAACTAATATCAGGAAGCAAGTCATGTGGGGAAAAAAAAAAAGACTTACCCACTCCTCCTCATCATAGTCTGAATGATGCGGTATGGAGTCCTGTCTTCTCATCGGCGGCGGGGGGTCCTGGGAACTGTTCTCCTCCGTGCCGTCCTTAGGAGACGGTGGCTTCTTAAGGACCCCTCCCGGCCTGGCAGTGTAAAGCGCTAAAAGAGCGCTTCTGACCAGCTGATCCTTGAAGGCATGTACAAAATGCTCTGTCTGGAAAGCAATGGACGAGGATTAGAAACAGCATGGTAGGCATCTCCATGTAGAGCTATGAAAAGATCAACTGCAGATCCGTTGGCACTTAAGTGGTGTGGATGGTGGAAAAAGCGCCGGCAAAGGAGAGAGAAAATGATTCATGTCAATCAATGGAAAATAGCTTGGTGTGGGGCTGCTGCCGGGGCCTGAGTCTCCTATTCTAAAGTTAACGCTGAGGTTCTACACGCACTATAAACACCATCTGTCTCCTCAGCCCCCTCTCTTTCAGTTCCAAATCTTGTCTTGAGATGTATTTCACCGAGGATTACCATTTGAACACCGTCTATCTACCCGCTGCGCCTTTCAAGTAATTCCAAACACACCTTTAAAGAAAATGTGATCAGACTATGTAGAGTTTATATTTTAAACATAATTAATTGCTCAAGAAAGACATATTTAAAAAAAAATAGAGGCAGGAGACCTTTTTCTCTTTTTAGCATCATGGACAGATTTCAACAGGAGAGATGACACAGGCAGTTTTTCCCCTGAAAACATTTGGCTTTTACTTCCTATTATTACCCCCTAAACTGTCTCCTCTACCAAATGGTTTCAGTAATGTTCAGTGTTAACGAGGTTACTGTGAAACTTGCCATGGTAGATTTTACAAGCTGGTGGTAAATATCTAGTAAATACTATTGTAATGAAGGCTTCCCAACAATAAAGAACTTTTACAGCTGTACTTAGCAATTTCCTGATGAAATGTTTAATAGCTTCACCTGATAATGTACTGGAGGGTGCAGTAATTGATTTTATGTATAATAGTACACTTAACACGCACATGGCCTAGCAATCTGTTCAGTCAAAGAGCTGAGAACTCACTCAAGCACTGACCCATATCGTTAACATATTTATATTTTGTAATCTGTTGGGAAAGGGCCTTTTAACCCATAGCATTATTTCGAATAACACCATTTCTTGAGATACTTCGGATATAATGCTGTCTTCACTATTGCTGCAACTCAAGGTAATCATTTATGTGCGCTCTCTCGATATGCATTCAACAGTGCCACGCCCAATAATGGCTACTAAATTGTTTCTAAATCTCCCTGCTGTGAATGTCAGCAAGCATGGAAAACCAGTTACACCACATGCAAAACAAGTGCCTAATAAGACTACATCGTATCTGCAGGGTACAGCTTTGTACTAGATCATGAAGTTCTAGAGCTAGAAGAGAACTTCAGTGGATCTCTTCCACTAACCAGATTGAAAAAAATCACTAAGCAGAAGTGTGGTGACCTGTCCAGGGCCGACTGCTGATCGGCAGCGCAAAAGAAACAGGGACCGAGTTTGCTAACTCACACCTCTACCACAACCATCCGCCTAGATGCTCCTGGTCGTCTTCCTCTTCTTCTCTAATCCCAGCTCCCCAAGTGTTCTGATCATCTACCGGCTCTCCTAGTGACTGTGCCCACAACTGCTAATGTAACTATCTACACTGCTCAGTTTTACTGGATATTTTAAACACTCTTTTAATCTGTTAATCTCTCAGTCACATTGAAGGTACTTTGAAGGTGTAGATAAGAAATAAAGTAAAAAAAGGATCTATTAGAATAAAAGGATGGAAAATATTTTTAATAAATTAGAAAATAAAAATTTAAAAGGTAGCTTTTTAATTCAAAGAACTGCTGAAAAAGCTGGCTAGACGGTACTCAGACAAGTCAGTATATTTACAGCAAAACGGGGAAACATGCTGTTAACATGATTTTCCAAATAGCACGGATGTGTCCACGATGTGAATTTACATATTAAAAATGTGAATTTGCTTCCATTCAGTTTAACTAAACTATTTCCCTATTGATAGTTTCAATAAGTTCTTTTGATTTCTTTTTAGAGCAGAACAGCTTGACTTCTTTGAATTCCTGCTACCACAGCTCCATTCTCCACAACACTCACTAATTACTATGTAGCTGAATACTATTCACAGCCAATGAAATTTCCTATGGTTCTTGTAATCACCGTCATTTCTTCCCGTAGCATGCACACACAGAGTTTCCTCTTCATTTATTCAAATCTCATGTAGGTTGATTTATTACCAAAGACATGGGAAATAATACAATCGATTCTTGCAGTTTTACAACCTAGAAGTTTTGGAGGATAGCTGAAGGTAACACACAAAATTTTAAATAAACACAGTAAATGCTGATCTACTTTGTGTCTAAACTCAAAATTTTAACTGACTCCTTGAAAACTCTCTGGATCACCAAGATCCTGTGCGTAGAATCATATTCTGTTAGAAAAACGCAAATTATTCCATGGCAAAATCCATGTGACCTGGAAAAAATCTTAATTTTCTTGACCAGTGTTACTTGGTAAATGTAGATCAATGCAGACCCAGACGTTTTACCATCAAAATAAACAAGCCTGAAGAGATTAATGTAGTCACTCAATTCGACACATTGGTATGTTGCTGTTCTTGCTACTGAGATAATATTAGGGGAGTTAAATGTCATGGGAAATAAGTGACTCTGAGCTGCCTATTTACTCAGAGTTCTGAAAACCTTTTCCCTTTTTTTTTTTTCCTTAGTGTCGACTACAATAAATGAAAAAGAAAAGCTGTCTAAATGTTACTGTAAGGGTAGGCAAAACAATTCATTTAAAATACCAACATAAGAATAAAGTAAAAAAAAAAGCATAACTTCTGAACCTAAGCCATATCTATTTCACTTGTTCCATATTTTAAAAAGAGAAAGAAATCTTATCTTAAAAATGAAATGTTTTCTTGCCTTACTGCCATTTTTCCAATTCATATTCCCCTACAAGTATTCTTCAAAGGAAAATACAGAATTATCTGCCAGTATAAAACTACTAGAAATTGCTTCTACTGGGGGTACGATCCCTAGTTTCCCGAATATTAATACCAGAGGAGTAGTTAGGATATGTTCATTCAGAACCACTCTTCTAAACTAGAGGACTCAACAAATTAAGCAGTCTCATTCTATTCAGAATCTCCTAAGAATCACTGAAAAAATTCATGGCCATGCCTCATCCTATCTGCCACGTAGAGACACCATAAACGAGTAATTATCATTTTAGTAGTCATGTAGATGGCAAAAAAAAAAAAAGAATTCTGTTTATTTTTAAACTTGATATGTTTTAATGATTTCATAGAGCCATAGTGTTATACTTGACATCGGTGCATTGATATGTGTTTAACATTCCCTAAAGGAAAGAACATTGAACTTTCAGCCAGGAGGGCTACCTGACATCCAGGCAGCTTATATAAATTATCCACTTGACCTTGGCTAATCACATAACCATGCTTCCTCAGCTTGTACAAAATTACAGTGCCTCTCCGTGAGACTCTTACGGGAGTTCACTGCAAACTGTGAAGTGTACTCTTCTATTTATGCTTCTTTCTTGACTGACCTTTTCAGTTTCTTTTGTTGACTCATAATCCCCTACACACTCAAAACGTGGTGAGTGGCCCCTAAAGGATCTTAAACCATTTTCTTAAAAACATTTTTACCACTGGTGACGTAACCCACTGTACCGTAACTTCAAGCATCATTTTTCATTATGCTAAGGTCTTGAATTCTGCCTACCTCTGAAGCAGCATTGTCAAGTGCTTCCATCTGCAAATCTTCTGAGTTTAGAGGTCCCAGTCTGATCTCAAGCTTTTTAAATAAATGTGTTCTTTCCAGTTTTCCATCTGAGTGGTATCACTACTGTTCAGCAACTCAGAGTCCTAACATCTGGATCATCTTCAGTAATACTTACTTTCTGAGTTAGTGATCAAGTTTTATTAGCTGTACCTTTCCAACAGTTTCAAAGATTGACCTTTATGTTATATTCCCATTGTAAATCCCAGTTAAAATTCTTTCTGCATTCCATGTTGATATTTCCATAGTCTTCTTATTGGTTGACTTACCTTAAACTAATTGTTACTTTTTTCGGGATGCTATCCAAGGTCACCAATATTAAGACGATGACTTTTGAATCCCAGCTCAGAACTACTGAATCAGAATCTGTATTTTAGCAAGCTCCCTCAGAAGCATTACTGTCATTTTGTGATGCTCAGTAGTTCAAATCCTCAGTCCTAGCTCAGCCTCCCTATTGCTCCTGAGATGATCTTCACAAAATATACCTCCTGGTCTTCCTCGCTCAGCAGCCTTCTCAGTACCTACAGAATCCACCTTCTCTCAGGGTAAAAACTAGGCGTGAGACAACGAGATCATTTTTTTTTTTTAAGCTTTAAGAGACATTGTTGAACTGTTTTCCAAACTGTGCAAACAACTGTGTACCCATCAACGATGGATGAAAGCGCCAGTTTTTCCTTATCCTGGCTAACTCTACTGTGCTTAGCCGTTTTGCTTTTAGCTGTTTTAGTGGATGATTGATGGTACCTCATGTTAGTTTAAATTTGCATTTCCCCGATAACAAATGGTGATGAGTATCTTTTCATGGACTTAATTGCCATCCATCATTTTTGGTAAAATGTCTTTTCAATTCTTTTGCTCATTTTAATCGAGTTTGTTTCATCATTAAGTTGTAAGAATATATATTCTGATACAAGTCCTTTGTCAGATATCTAGTTCACAAATATTTTCTCCTGGTCTGTGACTTGCCTTTTCATTTTCTTTAATAGTGTCTTCTGAAAATCTTAATGAAAGTTTTTAATGTTGAAGAAGTCCTATATAATTTGTTCTTTCTTT